TGCTGCTCAAGAGGTTCTTTAAAGTGCTGAAGAGCAAGGATGTTATAAGATATTAAGCAAGATCACACACAAACAAACTGAACCCAGTACTGTTGTGTTAGACCGGGTTGACTAGAGAAACAAATCGAGAGACACTCATAAGTGTGTAAGAGAGAACTTTATATCAAAGAGTAATTAATTGTATATTGAGAAAACATCCCATCCCAGTCCAGATCAAGTCCTTAAGTCCAATATTAGCCCATATATCTGATACCAGTCTATAAGTTCCTCTTCAGACTCACACAATACATGCAATGACACTGAATACAGGAAGATCATAGGCTAGTAGGTGGGAAGTCTTGTGGATCCAGTGGCAGTGGAAACATCTCTTCTCAGCACTGGCATTGGTCTTCACGTGGCTCTTCCAGCTCCAGGGCTTTGGCTCCATGAATGTAGCTCCATGTGGCTTGTCAACAGGAATGTCTCACAGGGAGGCAAGTGGAGTGTGTATCTGGCTTCCAGTGAGCTATTTATCTCCTTTGTGCCTCCAAATGAGGTCATCAAGCTGCAACCTGGTTGACAGGCTAGACTCCACCCCTTCACAAGTTGACCGGAAGTTATGTAACTGCCACAACTGTCAAACTGAATTTGACTCATTGTGACATTAAGACAGAGTAGAATGGTCCAATAGTGTTTCTAATTTGTAATGCTTACATACTATATGTACACTGAGCAATTTATCCAAGAATATGAACTATAGGAAAAAGAATTTTACATCAGAATCACAACAAGGCTTATAGAAAACCTTTGCTATGCAGATGACATAACCTAGCTTGCTGAAAATGAGGAGAACTTGAAGCACTTGCTGAAGAAGATCAATGACTGAAGTCTTCCCTATAGATCATACGTCAATGTAAAGAAAACCAAAATCTTCACAATTAGATTAATGGTACCCTTATGATAAACAGTAAAGATAGTGTTTGTCAAGGATTTCTTCTTGCTTATATCTCTCCTCAGTCCTCATAGAAGCAGCAGTGAAGACATCGAATGATGCATTTCATTAGGAAAATATGCTGCACGAGACCTCTTTAAAGTGTGAGGCACAAGGATGTCACTGAGTGATAAGGTGTGCTTCAGGCAAACTATGATATTTTCAGTCACCTAGTACGCATGTGAAACTTGGGCATTAAATAAAGAAGACCAAAGAAGAATCGGTGCAGTTAAGTGATGGTGCTGAGGAAGAACATTGAAAGTACCATGGACTTCCAGAAGAAGAAGCACATCTGCCTTGGAAGAAACACAGCCAGAATTCTTCTTACGTGTCAGACTTTCTCTCACTTATTTTCAATATGTTATAGAAAGCATCTCAGGGGAGATCATTCCCTGAAAAGGAGCATCATGCTTGGTAAAGTAGAAATGTAGTGAATAAGAGGAAATCCAGGATAAATTGGATTGACAACATAGCTCCAACGATAGGTTCCACCATAATAATTGGGAGGATGGTGCAAAGCCAGGCAATGTTTCATTTGCTCCTAGATAGGGTTTCTTGACTCAGAACCAACTCAATGGCCCCTATCAATCACCAGCACAATCTTTACAGAAGGTGACTGCCTCACCTTTCTCCTATGGAGGCACTGGTGTGTTCAAAACACTAATACTTAGGTTAGCAATGGCATGCTTTCCACACTTCCCAAATGGATCTTTTCATGGAGATCAGCAACAGTCTCTGTATCACAGGTTGTCAGGTGCTATCTGGCCAGTTTCACTCATCATGGCCCTATGTAGAACAGAACAAACCAGTGCCCAGCCCCGCACCATCCCCACAAGAGTTCTTAGTGCCAGCCCGTTGTGCGGCCACTGTGTTCATCCATCTTGTCGAGGGACGTACTCTTCCCTGCTGCCCCTCAACTTAACCAAACGTGATGTCCTTCTCCACGATGGGTCTCACCAGTCTTGCCATTAAGGCGCATTCTGGATATCCTTCTTCCTTATCCCATACAATTCTCAAAAGTGTAAGCAATACCAATTTTTGTTGTTACATGCTGTTCAGTTGGTTATGTCTCACAGAGACAACCCTGCTTGGCTCTATGCCATTGTCTTCATTTTATGTATGTTGGGACGATTGTTGCAGTCACTGTTTCAATATGCTTAACTGAGGGTCATTCTTTTCTGTTACCCTATACTTTATCATGCATGATGTCATTTTAATAGGCTAGTTACCCCTATTAACATAGCCAATGTTTGTGAGCTGAAGTTTCACCATGCTCATTTCTAAGAGGTAGTCTGTCTAGAGTAAGTCCAAGATATATTTGCACATTCTTTTGACGGTCCAAGGTAATTTCAATAAATATAATTCAAATGGATCAATTCTTCATTGAGCTTTACCACTCATTATCCAACTATGACATGCATATGAGGCAAATGAATCTCCCATAACTTGGGTCAGTCCCACCTTAGAATTCAATGTAACAACCTTGTTCTTCAACACTTGAAAGGGGTCTTGGCCAGTAAATTTAATAAATAGCTGATTTCTTGGCTTCTGATTCTATGAGCAGTGATTATGGATCCAAGCAAGATGAAATCCTTGACAATGTCAATCTGTTCTCTGTTATTAGGATGGCATCTATTAGTCCAGCTGTGAGGATTCTGGTGTTTTTTTTCAGAGTTGCAGCCTATACTGAAGGCTTACATATTCATCAGCAAATATTTCAGGTACTCCTCACTGACCCCATATTAAATATAAATAAAACTTTATGAATAAATACAATTTCTAAAGAAATTATAAGACTAGTTTTAAGTTCTGTATAATATTGTATAAAAATCTTTAATGTCTGTTTTTAGAATCATGTTTGGCTTCTCTTATATGACTTTAAAATGGCCTGGATATCATATCTTCTGGTGCAGTTAATCCTTTGCTACATATGATCTGTTCTGGTGGACATGTATAAAGAAAATCCAGTTAAAAAGGAGATAGAATAATTTAAATTAATTTTTATATAACTGTTGGTATTCTTCCTTAATACTACCACAAAGAACCAAAAGCAGCCAAACTCACTGACATCGAGTCAATGCTAATTCATAGCTTTTCCCTCTGGATTTCTGAAACTGTAACTGTTTAGGGGAGTAAACGCCCCATCTTTCTCCCACATAGCTGCTAGTGTTTTTGAACTGCAGATCGTGAAGATTGCCACCCAACCTGTAATCACTGCACCACACGGGCTTCTAATATTACTACATGACTCCATAAATTTAAGGGTATTCAATGTGTAATATGACATCATATATATCAATATTTTGTTTTTGTTCTTGTTGCCTGTCCTTCAATCAGCCACTCAATCTTTGTTACCCAGTTTCGTAGAATTATGCTCCATAGTGTTTTTTTTCTTTCTTTTCTCTCTCTCTCTCTTTCTTTCTTAGACATTTCTAAACTTGAATAAATGGAGAAGCCTGGCTTTGCTTCCTTGCAACTGCTTGTGTCACCCAGGCTCTTTTCATTTGAAAATCATTCTTGAGTAAAAGATTCATTGATGATACATCAATGAACTTTAATATAACATATTTTTATATTATTAGATGAAAATCCCTTGACGGGATATTCTATTCAAGACTGATTTTATGACATGATCCATCGGTGAATTGAAACACCCTGAATGACTGACTTATGCAGATTTTTCAAATGTTGATGCCATTGATTAAATTTCAAAAATGCTAATTCTTCTTGAAATCTTAAATGTTATCTTGGGAAACAGATGCATCTGTTGTTAGTGACACATTAATTTCATTGGTTTTCAAGAAAATAGTTTCTAAATAACAAGTTTGAATAAGTAAATAATAAATTCAAGTAAAAATTAAGTTCTATGAAAAAGGCATGCTTAAGAGACTGAACTCGGTAAAATGTGTAATTTTCACTTCATTGGTTACATCAGAAAATAAAACTATTTAATAAGCATTTACTATTTTTTCATAATACTTTATTATGTTTTGGGGTGAAAATCTAGACCAAATTATGTTCCCGTTTGCTACTTTGCTCAGCTGTTTAGTGGCATTAGTCACACTTTGAAAAGGGTCAACATTTTCGTTAAGTACATTCTTGTTGTTATGTTTCCAGTATCCTAGTTTCCTCTATCTTCTTGTCTTATCAGCTCTGCTTAGAAAATTGCTAACATTTTGTCCCCATGTAAATTATCTTTAATGGGATCCTGGCTACATGGGTAGTACTCATTATTTTATTAGCCATGCTGTCATTTCATTCATAGATTACTCCATGGGATAGTTTCTTTCAGGTTTAAAAAGTATCTCATGGATTGGGTACATCTTCTGTACAAGACCTCCTTAAATTGTTAAAAAGCAAGGTTGTTACTTTGCAGACAAAGGAATGTCTGACCAAAAAAAATGCTCTTTTCAATCACTTCATATGCATGTGGAAGTTGGGCATCACATAAGGAAGACAAGAGAATAATTGATGCTGTGAGTGATGGTGCTGGCGTGGAATATTGAAAATACATAGGCTGACGAAGGAACAAACACATCTGTCTTACATGAAGTACAACCAGTCAGATCCTTAAAATCAAGAATAGGGAGACTTCATCTTAAGTACATTGGACATCTGATCGAGAGAGACCAGCCCATGGAGAAGGACATCTGGTTGCTACAGTAGAGGGCCAGTGAAAATGAGGAAGCCTCCACAAGATGGGCTGGCTCCATCAGTACAACAATGTAGCGGTGTAGCTCGAACAGAGGAACTGTTGTGAGGATGGCACGGGGCCAGCCTCTTTCGTTCTGTTGTGCTTAGGATCCCAACTCAAAGGCACCTAACAAGAAGTCTCTGAGAGTCCTCCACTCTCAATTGGTCCAGTAATTCTAGACTTTGTAATTTTGTTTGTAGTTTTCCTCTCTTCTGCGTTGTGCCATCTATTGTGGCTCTGGCAAGAGGAGTCCCAATAGCAGCAGCTGGGCATCTCCTGGTTTTTCTGCACTCAGGGTAGATGAGGTTGTAGCTTGTGTCTGCTATTAGCCTATGAATTAGGCTCTTCGCTGAAATGTTGGGTTCCTTTTGCTGTTAAACCCTTGCTCATGATGCATAGAAACAAACCTCTGTGTCTTCTCATTCACAAGCCGAGACCTTGGAGACTACTCATTGCATTCAGATACAGGATGTAAAACGTGTGGTGCCAATGAATTGAGCTGGCCTATAAAACTAAGAACCCAAGCCTTCAAAGCCGGGAAATCTTTTTGGAAAGTGTTCAGTTTTGCTTGATAAGTATCTATGATTGTTCCATATAATTATTGTTTAATTCACCTGCATATCTGTACATATATGCATATACAAGTACAGTTGTAATAAGATTAGGGTGGTGTGCAACACTCATGGCACAACCCTATTGCAATCAATTGAAATAAAGTACCTAAGTATGTGGACTGCTTAAGTAGTCACTATGGTAAAGCTTGCTTGGATTTTGCTGAGTGTATATCTTGCATCTGGCTTAGGGGCCTTCTGTTCTGTGGACTTGAGCCAACCACTTGCCACATTCCCTACTGACCCTGAGAATGGAATTGCAGAGTTGACAAATATATTAAGTGTAATTGAGAGTACTTTGAAGGTGATAAGGCTGTTTTATAAATATATTAAATACATAGCTTGAAAAAAATTCCTTTTTTTAACTACCCCTTTGTATGTGTCTATCTTGGATTTCATATACAGAAAATCATACAAATAAAAAACAACTAGAGAAAAACATAGACAAAGCTCAATAAAAAGGAAAGCAGAAAATATTAAAAACTGAAACAACTTTAAAATAAGTCAAAATGGTGATCACATGATAACGTATTACATTTTTACCAAATGACATCTGCCATAATCAACTTTGCAAGGCTCGCTGTCTGGTAGCAAGACTATTCACATCCCTGACTGTGGTGAGAGGGAATTCACTGTAGGCTTAATCCATGTGGAGACCTTGCAAATGGATTTGGGATTCCACACTCATCCACAGACAAGGTGTTCATAATTAAATCTCTGATACCATTCTCTACTTTTGATTCACATTTTATTATTTATAATCCTTGGATCACACAGAGTGGTGTGCTTCTTTCATGTGGACTTAACTGATGCACCTCTTAGATGGTTGGGTTTTTTTGGAGAAAAGCTTGTGAGATCCCATATGCAATTCCTTCGTGCAACCAGGTATCTGATTTCTTCACCACACTTTGCTGTAGTGCCCCTGTCTTCAGAGATCTCTTCATGGGGGAAATTAATGAGTAGGGCTACGCCACAAGAACTCATTGTTCCTAGATCAGGGCTAGAATTAAGAATAAGGCCCCAATCTGTTTATATATCTATGATATCATGACTCTTTGATTAACTTTTCAAACAGAAAATTAGAACCCTTGGCTCTTTTGGCCTGGGTCCTGGAGTCCCTTAGTTTCTTGTCTCAGAAAGGTTCAATAGCACTCACTCACAGCCTCTACACTCCCCTGTGCTCATTCCTAGGCCCTTGACTTTGAATCCCTGTAGCTAATCTGGGCCATCAAAATCTATTGTCTTCTGCAGCTCCCAACCAGCCACAGTACATGAGCCTCCAGGTTTCTGACAGCCAGTAGCTCCCTGACATTTTGCTGACCCTGCTTCGCCTTTCCTGTCTTTTATAACCCATCTCAGCTCTCCAGTGCTTCTTCTGCTGTCTGGAGCTGTGAGCTCTCATTCAGTGTCTGCCTGTTTTTATTCACTGTTCAGTTTGTTAGTGTCAAGGGGTAAATGTTAGTGGCTGTTTAGGCCCTCATCTTGGTCTGTATCCTCAGCTTTTTTTTATACCTATTTTGCTGTTTTCTGTGGTGATGATTAATAAAATTACTATCAGTGCAGTTTGGTACTAATGCCTTGATTTGTGCTTTGATTCTCAAAACGTTGTCCAATGTTGTTTTTATAACATTATAAAAATGCCAACAGAGGGTAAAAGGTCAGTAATCTATTATTATGAATATAATTTTGAATAGTGGTAAGCCTTGAAATTGTGTAAGAGACTCCTTAGTGTCCCATAGACTGTGTGTGTGTATGTATTTGTGTGTTCAAGGAGCAATGTAAGAATCTGTTCTGTTAAAGTATAATTGTAGTTTGAAGTGTAACATGGAAAAATATCTTTTTAACTTCCTTTATTTTACTTACAATAATTGTAATTTAAAAGAATGTGCATTATTTAGTACAGCACTCATTTTGCAGTGCTTAAAATGCTTGGCTGCTAAATAAGGGCTCTGCAGTTACATCCTCCCCTCCCCCAAGTCCCTTTGTGGGATAAAGCTAATGGCAGTTTGTAGCTACAAGCATCTATAGCCTTGACATCCCCATGGACCAAGTTTTACTCAGTTCAATAGGGTCACTGTGAATAGTAATTGGCTCAAAAGCAATACATTTCTATGTGATATGTGTATGTATGCGTTTTTAGGTATATGTGTGTATTTATATCTATGTGAATGTGTATTCAGAGTATACATTGTTTCAGATTTGCTTCCAGGTCATTTCCCTCACTATCATGTGTTTGTTTTTTGATTTTTAAGAGGCCATATTATGTTCTTTTTCTTTTTTGCTTTTAATTGGTGAATATTATACTACAAATTGGTTATCTATTAATTCATGGATAATTGTCATTATTTCTAGTTTAGAGGCTCATGTGACTAAAGTTTCTTGAAGTACCCTTGTGTAGAATTTTTAATGTATCATA